TAATATAATAGTATATATTAAACATAGTCTCTATCAAAATTAAGATATTGTTGAATGCATTGTGTATTGGAGTTAAGAAAATCAATTCAATTTTATTTTATTTCCACACAAAATTATTTTTTCCGTGACTAATGCATCCAAAATGCACCGAAGTCTTGTCTATAGTTATTATAGACATGTCCACTTGATTCAATAATTAACCGGATAATCACGTTTTACAATCTTGCTATCTAAACTAAAAGAATGTATTAATTAAAGTATACATGCACTATATATGAAACTCTGTATATGTGATAGACTGTAGTTTTATTAAATAGTCTTTGATTAACAATAAGTTATTGTTAATCAAAGACTATTTAATAAAACTACAGTCATTGTCAATAACTCAATTATTATTATTAAATCTATTGGAGAGCTGTCGGACACGTTATATTAAATATACGCTATAAATATTTTATTTATTAATTTTGATAAATAAATATCATTTACCGACAATAAAAGTACCCTAACATACTATTTTAAGTGTTATGTTTTTATTTAATTGTATTCTAATAAAAATGTTAATTAATTTATTAATATAATAATGAATTACATTAACTTCTAGCATTAAGTTAAGTTACATTTTGAATCATTAATATACATTTTACATCATGTATTATAATTCAACAATTAATTGATAAGTTAAACACTTAATTCAATCATGTGTCATCTACTGTAGCTCTAAATTTTAAAAAAGTTATAAGTATTTCGCAAAATTATGGTAATTGTAAGCATATAATTTAATACAATAATTATATTTCCATGTAACCAAACTTTTACTTGATAAGTTTACTTAAAAATTAAATAAATATTTAAGCAACAGCTTTTTAAATAAACACAAAACAAATGATAGAGTATGATAAATAATTCAATTTTCAATTAAACGTCAATCAATTATCTTGAAAAATAAAATCTGTTCAAAATATAAATTATATTTAATTATAGAAAATAATTTTACAATATATCAGATTTAGTTGTATTATATATCAGTTTTATTGTAATTGCTGTAATTGTAATTATTATATTGAGTTTGATTTAGGTAGAATTAGGGTTAGATTAACGGCATCAAAATAATCAAATTATAATTTTACTATTTATGCATTTACAAGAATGCATGTAGAATGCATTTGTAGTTTTAAATCATTTTTAACAATTACATTTTAGACGATGTTTTAGTGTTTGTAGATTTAAAAATTTAATTCGTACTAATTTGTTTGGTAAAATTTAAATTAGGTTTAGCAAGCTTGTAACATATAAACTTAGTAATCCTTCCCAGTATTTATTTTTAAATTGTTTTAAATAGGTTTGTGTTGTATTTGGATTCCAATAGTATTTTAGTATTCAATTAACGAATAAAAGTTTTATACAATTGTAAAAATTTATATCCATTTGCTTTATTACATATAAATTATAAATTTTAAAAATTAACATTTTTAAAACAATTATTAAATATTAAAACAAAGTCAAAGACAACCCGAATAACGGACGCCAATATTACTAAAATATTTTACAAGATTATTGTTTTATTGAATATTTAATGTTAAATTACAGTTCAATAAAAATGTGTACTTTATTATGAAACGTTAAACATTTACTATTTTTAAATTATTAAAATTTTTATAGCATTGTACTATTTACTAATGTATTTAATATTTAAACTAGCCAATATTAATAACATCGTTTAGCCCGGAAAAACAGATAGTTCATATATTCCCAATGTCCACAGTAAAAATAAAACTAATCATTTATTTTTGGGAAACATTGTGTAATATTTAGGGAATATTGTGGGATATGTTTATAGCAGAACTGATTGTTTGGTTAACCACTTTTTACTTTAACACTATTTACAATAGCATATAGCCTGTGCCCAGTGGTGACCGGCGTGTGTATAGTGTGGACACCAATGAACCCGATATAATGGTTAGGGTCTAAGTAGTCAATATATCCACTCTTAACTCTTATCGTTGTATTCACGTCTCGGTTCAGGTAGAAAGAGAAGTCCGGCGCCGAATTAATTTTTATTATGTTATAATTCACATATTTAATTATTCATTATTAATTTAATAGTAAAATTATAAATGGTTTATTATTTAATTAATGCAACAGAAAAGTTGCATTTTTCAACATCAATACAATAGTATAACTTAACTTCAGTTACAATATTGACAAAAAATAAAATTATATAAATTGTTTTTTGTCTATCTTTGACTAATTAACATTTTTTATATAATCATGGCACTATATGATTAATTTAAAATTATTCCATCGCTGATACTGCAACCAGTATATACAGATACACTGAATGTTATTTACTATTCAGTGCTGTTTCAACGGGTGTGACTCCTTAACGGATAATCCAAAGGAGGATCGGCAGATCTGTAATGGGGTTTGATAAAATCTGTAATGGGGGCATAGGTTAGCTAGTTTTTAAAATATTTTTTACATGCCGACACCACTTCCTGTGCTATCATGTTTTGAAACGGTGTGACCATATTGTCTACCGAGAGCTGTTGGTAGGCCATACCCATTATGCCGTCAAAACCACCCAGCACAAACGCCGGACCCGGTTCTGAAGTCATCTGTGCAAATGTCTGGTTATGTACTTTACCGGTGCCTATGGTTAACATATCGGTGCTGAGAAACCCTTTGGCTGTACCCATGCCGTACTTAATTAAAAACGCTGTACCATTTTTGACATAGATAAATGATTTTGCTGAATAGTATTTGCGGTGCACAATACAAGCACATGATGTACATTTTGGTGACGGCACCCATAGGTTAGAGCTGCCCGTATCAAATATAATCTGTGTGAAAATGGATCTAGTTATTAAAATATAATTCTATTTTACAATATAATAATACTCTGAATGTTTGTGGAGGAGTGCCCAGACCTATGAGGCCATAATAATCGGCGTTCATATAATTCCTGAGCCGCACAGCTATGGCCTCTCCTGTAGTCCTGTGTTCGTCACTCTCTGGCAACACATCCTTAATATCGATACCGTTTTCATTCAATTTGTTGCGAATAGACTTGAATTTATGCAACGATACGCGGATTAAGGCATCGATTGTATCGATCGATAGTAAGCATACAATTAGTGGCACTAATAATGCAAACTTGGGTTTCATTGTATGTTTTACTATATGATGAATGATATTGCTTTATCTTTATGTAAATGTTGTAACTTTTATAACTTGTATTTTATTACTACATTTTAATTATATACACGCTATAAACATATTTTTATATTGTTTAGAAATACGTTGTTTATAATATTTTATTTAATCTACTGTACATGTTGTATTATTATCCACACATCAATTTGTATTATTATCACTACAAACAAATTACCAGCTATTCATTTATTACGGCATCAAATAATAATATACATTTTATTAAATTTTAATTAATTGAATAGCATAATGTATAAGAATATAATATTAGTACATATTTTTTAATTTACATATTATTATATTAAAACTGCAATTACAATATTTGTTGGTTTATGTTTGAATTTATTAATAATTTATTTATACATAAAATATAAAATTAAGTCGCTCACTATTATAATCCAATTCATATTAAAATTGTTTTAATAAAATCATTATGTAAAATATATAAGTTTATGTTACAGTTTTGCAATAAAAATGTATCTATAATTAATTATACAAAACATGTAATAACATTTTATTTATAACACTTATTTCATTAATTTTAGCATAATATTAGATTGTACTAAAATAATAAATCACTACTAATGATAATACTATATAAAATTAGTTGTAAAAATTTATATAAAATTTATACAACAGCCCTCATATATCCAAATAAAATGCAAAAACTTTAAACCAGAGATAACTAATCAGATGAATGTGCATGCTGACAATTTAACATTATTTTTGTAGATTTTATTTGTAATATTATTTATTAATTTATATACAAGAAACTGTAATGGCATCTTGGTTTTATTATTAGTAAAACTTTGTTAGTTTGTTTTATTTATAAGTTGGAGAAACCGATAGATGTCCAATATTTTATATTAGTAAATCTTACGATTAAAATAGTTTTTAACTAGACATTATTTTTGTTGTATTTTGGAAATCGTTCAAACATTAACAGCCTTTTATAGTGTATTATCATTCATTAAAAGTTCTGCCGATTCCTAGTCTATGACATATTTTGTGCATCACATGAATTTTGGATAACGAATATGAATCTTGTTTTATTATAAAATATAGAATCATGTTTGCATTTTATATGTTAATTAAATATGATGTATCCATTAATTTAAATATTATAATCAACTGTAACTGAAATTTATTTATAAAATTTTATATAATGTTTGATCATGCCAATTGTGCTTTGGTTCATGATTAACGGTGAATTTATAATTATATAAAAAATATGGCCATTAATTGCAATGAATTGCAATGAATTGCAACTTCTGTTGGTTTTCTATTCATTGAATTAGTGGCCAAAATGACAATTAATTTTGATAAGGAGTCGAGCGGTTAAAGTAATGCAAATTATAAAAATATTTTATGAAACATTTAATGCCGTATTGATTGTAATGTTATTAGTGCTTAAATACTTTATGAAGTTAACATTTATTTGTTATTATTATAGACAAGACTTCGGTGCATTTTGGATGCATTAGTCACGGAAAAAATTATTTTGTGTGGAAATAAAATAAAATTGAATTGATTTTCTTAACTCCAATACACAATGCATTCAACAATATCTTAATTTTGATAGAGACTATGTTTAATATATAGCGCGTTTTATCGTTATAACAGAAAGAACATGACTGAAGAGAATTGTTTAAAATACTTTTATTGTTTATATAATCTAAATTTAATTAAAACATAATATAATAGTATATATTAAACATAGTCTCTATCAAAAT